CTCGGACCTGGTGTTGAGGACCCCCAGGATGCTGGTCCTGGGGGACTTCAATATCCATGCCGAGGCTAGTCTGACCGGGGCGGCTCAGGACTTCATGGCCTCCATGACGGCCATGGGGCTGTCTCAACATGTCACCGGCCCGACCCATGAACGTGGACACACTCTGGACCTGGTTTTCTCGACGGGGCAGGAAGAGGGTGGTCTGAGGGTGAGGAATTTATGCTTGACTCCCCTGTCATGGTCAGATCACTTCCTGGTGAGGTTTGTGCTCGAGAGCGACATCTCCCTCTGTAAGGGTGCAGACCCGATTGTGTGGGTCCGCCCCCGGAGCCGGATGGATCCGGAAGGATTCCTGAAGGCTCTGGGGGAGTTTCCGGCTGACAAGACGGGTGCTCCTGTCGAGGCTCTGGTTGAACTGTGGAATGGGGAGATGACCAGGGCTGTAGACACGATCGCTCCTAAGCGTCCTCTCCCACCGGGCAGAGCCCGTTCTTCCCCTTGGTACACTGCAGAATTGAGGGCAATGAAGCAGGTTGGGAGACGGCTAGAGCGTAGGTGGAGGAAATCACGGGATGAATCTGACCGAACACACTTAAGAGCCCACTATCGGGCCTATGCTGTGGCGGTGAGGGCGGCGAAAAAGAGACACTTCTCCGCTTCCATTGCCTCCTCACAATGCCGTCTGGCGGAGCTCTTTCGAGTGGTGCAAGGCCGGGTTCACCCAGGGCCGAAGGAAGAGCTGATTCCACCCTCAAAGGCCCGCTGTGACGACTTTGCCAGGCATTTCAGGGAGAAAATCGCTCAGATTCGTCACGAGCTGGATTCCACTATTGATTCAGAGGTTTTAAGGGAGACACCAACGCTGCCGTCTGGTCCAGAATTATTGGATGAATTTCAGTTATTGCGGCCCGATGATGTGGACAAGGTGCTTGGACGAGTACGTCCCACCACTTGCCTTTTGGACCCTTGCCCGTCTTGGTTAATAAAGGACTCCAAGCACGGGATTGGAACCTGGATCTTGGAAGTGGTTAACGCTTCTCTGAGGGAGGGTCGGGTGCCTGCCCCTTTAAAGGAGGCGGTAGTCCGACCGGTCCTGAAGAAGGCGTCACTGGATCCAGAGATGGCCGCTAATTATAGACCAGTGGCCAACATCCCGTTTCTGGGCAAGGTGTTAGAGCGAGTGGTGGTGGGACAACTCCAAGCACTCTTGGATGAAACTGATTATCTGGACCCATTGCAGTCCGGCTTCAGACCCGGGTACGGTACTGAATCTGCCTTGGTCGCCCTGTACGATGACCTGTGCAGGGAGAAGGACAGGGGGAGTGCGTCCCTGTTGGTTCTCCTGGACCTCTCAGCGGCTTTCGATACCATCGACCATGGTATCCTTCTGGATAGGCTGGCGGGATTGGGGGTCGGAGGCACCGCTTTGCGGTGGTTCCGCTCCTATCTCAACGACCGATTCCAGAAGGTGGTGTTGGGGGACTATGGCTCTGCGCCATGGCAGCTTTGCCATGGGGTACCGCAGGGTTCCATTTTGTCCCCTTTACTGTTCAATATCTACATGAAACCGCTGGGAGAGGTCATCAGGAGGTGTGGGCTGCGGACCCATCAGTATGCTGATGATACCCAGCTCTACCTCTCGTTTTCCACCAATCCAGGTGAGGCAGTGGCTGTACTGAACCGGTGCCTGGCCGAGGTAATGGGCTGGATGAGGGCCAATAAACTGAAGCTCAATCCAGACAAGACGGAGGTCCTGTTGGTTGGCAGTTCGGGCTTCGGAGAAGGTGATCTGAACCTTGTCCTGAACGGGGTTGCACTCCCTCCTAGGGACAAGGTCCGCAGCTTGGGAGTGCTCCTCGACCCGGAGCTTTCACTTGAAGCTCAGGTGACAACAGCGGCGAGGAGCGCTTTCCTCCAGCTTCGGCTGATTCATCAGCTGCGCCTCTACCTGGAGTACGACTGCCTTGCAACAGTGACTCATGCGCTGGTGACTTCCCGTCTTGACTTCTGTAACGCGCTCTACGTGGGGCTACCCTTGAAGACGGTCCGGATACTTCAATTGGTTCAGAATAGAGCTGCCAGGCTGCTGACGGGGACTGGGCATTATGTTCACATGACTCCAGTTCTCCGTCAGCTTCACTGGCTCCCCATTGAAGTCCGGGCCCAATTCAAGGTGTTGGTAATGACCTATAAAGCCCTAAACGGCTTGGGTCCTGGTTACCTGAAGGAGCGCTTACATCCATATTTGCCCAGTCGCCCCCTGAGATCGGCGGGAGAGGCCCTTCTCCGGGAGCCCTCCGTGAGAGAAATTGGGAGGGTGGCTACTCAGAGAAGGGCTTTCTCAGCGGTGGCGCCTAAGTTATGGAATGCGCTCCCCAGAGAGGTCCGCCTGGCGCCGTCGTTATTTGTTTTTCGGCGCCAGGCTAAGACCTTTTTATTTAAGCAACATTTTAAATGCTAAATACAATTGAATTTTATCTGGCCAGGGTGGCTTATTTTATTTTATAATGTGTGTTTTAATTAAGATTATTTTATATGGATATTTTAACTTATTGTTTTATCTATGTTGTAAGCCGCCCCGAGGCTTCGGCGAATGGGGCGGCATAAAAATGTTTTAATAAATAAAATAAATAAATACTCCTTGCAAGTGGCACCACCTGAAAGCCCAAGGACAGCATAGAATCAACGGGAACCCCTGAATGATGGAGGATCATACCTAAGCATAGCTCTGAGGTGAAGGGCAAGAAAATCCTTTGGTCCTGCTCCTGTGTGAGGGGCCACCTCCTGCATACACAGTATATACATCCTGTATGTACCAGCAAATAGACAGAGACCACACCACCTCCTTATCCAGGCTACAATAGGTGCAAACTATAGGTCTGAGTTCCATGGCAGAAATGAAGACTCCACACAGAGTTACTATGCATTAATGCTGCACACAAAAACTTAATATAGTTCTTTCTGTTGGGAACACAATATTTTGCAGGAGGAGGGATGTGGACCACAGATGGTACAAGAATCAACTCACAACTGCAGCACTATGAGCTGCCCATGGGGAAAGTAAACACAAAGGCAAATGAGATGCGGGCCACTCCCACAGGCCACACTGAGAGACAATATTCTTTAAATGGCCACTCTAAGCTGCTCCGTAACATTAAAATGCACAGATTTTACTTGCTTGCACAGTATATTCGCCCATTCAGTGTTCTGTAGTCACTTGCAGACAAACTACAATTGTCCGTTAGCATCACTTTGATTTTTGGTTTCATTTTACTTTATTTTTTAAATGGGTTGCATGTTTGGTACCCTTGCCTTAGGGCACTGACTTGTCGGGATGATACTCTTGCAAGTCTTTGGACTCCAGTGGAAAAATGCAGACTGTGTAGGTAGCATGTGGTGTGAAGGCCAAGAACGCCCTTTCTCAGTCTACACATTCCAGCATGGAATGCTCTGAGGTACAGAACAATGGAATGGGCCTGGATCCTGTGCCTGGATCCTGTGCCTGGATTCTATTTCAGATAAGCTGTTTTACAGGGGGGCACATTCCAGTGGCAGGAGGAGCTAAAGGAAAAGGGGGCAAAGGGGCAGGACCAAAACTGCCAACAGAATTTAGCTTAACGCTTTGAGCATGCCTTTGCAGAGGCGTTCCAGCCTTTCTGCACAAAAGCCAGCAAGCCGCAATTGATTTGTGGTTTGTGGAAACAGGGTGGAGTCATCTGCAAAACCTCAGAGGCCCATATTGGGACCACAGAAGGGTTGGATTTGGCCCCAGGCCCAAGATTCCCCATCTCTTCCATATCTATCATCAGAGCAGAGAAGTAGCTAATGAACAAGGCTTCTGTTGAACCTTATCAGTTGTGGGACAAATATTGATAATGTTACAAAGGAATGGGGTTGCCAGCATTTTTCTTCAGGCAGGTACCCCATGCTCTGAAAACCTCATGACAGATGAATTGGGTTCAAACAATATAATAACCCTCTCTTAGGGGGTGAATATAGTTTGAGTGGGTTGCCCCTAAATTGTGGGGTTGTTGCTGAAACATGGGTTATCATGTCTCCTGAACCCAGCCCATTAACAAGTCAACCAATTTGGTTGAGCAACCAATTTACAATCCAGTAATGAACTATGCACTCTGACCCTTAACAAGCCATGGTTTGTTAGTCCAGCCGAATTCAGACAACACAATAACCAAGCATGAAACTATATTAGAATATAAGCGATTTTTCATATATTTCCAAGTACAATTTATAGTATTGCTGTTTCATTTTAAGGCCCTGAACAGCTTGGGACCTGGGTACCTGAAGAAACATTTGAGCTCACATCAACCTGTCTGTACAGTGAGATAATCTCTGGAGTGAGGTGGGTAGTACCTTCAAGGAAAGCCTTCTCTGTTGTTGCAACCCTTCTTTGGAATTCTTCTCCTCTTAAGGAAACTTGTGCAGCACCTGTGTCGCTATTCTTTCAATAATGGGCCAAAAAAAAAAAAAAAACCCTTCCCAGGCCTTTATATAATTTAATTGTTGGTTGAACCTTCTGATGCACAGTTGTTTTGATGCATTGTTTTACTACTATTTTTATGTTCAAAAGCCTCATTGGAGACTTTGTTGTTGAAGGTTGTGGATTTTTTTTTAGAACACATAAATTGTAGACAAGGGCAGCATATATATGGAAGGCTATTGGATCCTGAAAGAAAGGAGCATAATGATGGAAAAATGAGAACTCTAGTGAAATTGAGACTGACTGCCCAAACAACACTCTTTCTTTTTGGCTGCTCATCTCCCGTGGATTAAGGCAGCCCAGGGCCCCTGCCCAGCGACGGAGGAGCTTAACTGCCTTCACTACATTGTGTTCATGCTAACTCCAAAAATGGAAGCTCCCTGGGATAGCGATTATGTACTAAGTGAAGCAAGTCTGGAAGTGAAGCTCTGGTTTGTCTCCAGAAAAGGAGACTTGACAGAAGGAGGATACTACTGGTTGATCTTATTGTTAGTAACTTTAAGTGACTTTGATCTTCCAAGTTGCTTCATTTTCTCTGTCTTTTCTTCTTTCATCCAGAAAACAATTAAAGCAACAACAAAATGCAACAGGAGTCAGCTGAAGTACATGCCTATTCTGTCTGCATTGCTGCCATTGCCAAGAGGTTTGGTGAAATGTTTGCAGTCTCTGTAAGATGCAAGGAACTTTCAAAGACTTAACTTCCTTCTGAAAAGAAAAATAGGCTCTTAAGGTTAAGAACTGTAAAAATGCCTGCATAACTAAAAGGAAGGAAGCCCCTCTTAACATAAGGAGCATTTTAGAAGCATTATTCAGCAGGGAGTTTTGGAAAGCTTGTCATATTTCAGAAATTTTTGTAAAGGAAGAAAAAGGTTTGTTTTTGAAACTAGAGATATGAGAGACAGAAAGAAAAAGAGCTAAAGGGTACTTTAATATTTCATGTCCTTTACAATTGCTTCGGTTCTCAAAAATATTTACTGAACATTCAACATTTTATAGGGAGTTTTAGAACCGGGAAAAACAATTAGTGGTGAATTTTATGTAAAGTGAAAAGCTATGGGGAATGTGAGGTGGGTGGGAAATGCCTAAATTTCTCCTTATATCCCTCTAGATGGCTGAAAAATCAAAACTCTCCAAAACAATATACACTGCTTATTTATTCTAAACAGAAACCTTGGGATTACTGCCTGGACAATAATGATATCTTGAAAGACATGAGCTGCAGCTTTCATCTCCTGCAGCAGCGTGTATCGATCAGAAGCAGCTTCAGATACGCCATGTTACAATGAGCATTAGGAGGAAACCAGTGGGACGTACAACAAAAAATTCTGAAGCATATTCCACAGAAGTGCAGCTCCTGCTCAGGGCTCCAGCCGACCCTGCGGCCCACTCCGTTTCCCACCCAGCCCCATCCAGTCTTCTATCTGGCACTTCACGTTCCCTGGCTAATAAACATGGGCAGTCCTTATTGGGAAACTCTGGGAAACAGGTGATCCCTTATAGCTTGTATAATTATGTTTTTGTGCTTCTGTGCTTGGGATTCCCTCACGCATGACCATTTTTCTCTCCTGTTTCTTAGGAGCCCCTTTTTGGCTTCAATCCAGTCCATTCTTGCCACCTGGATTTGTTATTAGAAGGAATGATGTTTGCCTCTCAGAGCCTCTTTCCTTGTTCTCCTAACATTATCAACAATGGATATAGCTGAAACCCAATATAAAAGGCATGCGTTCTCCATCATTTTTTAAAATTCGTGTTTTGTTAAAATATACCCCATGTTATATAACAAAGTACTCCAAGGTGGCTCATTTAAAAATGCTGCAATCCTATATTTACCCAAAATTAAGTTGCAATAACCACAATATGATTTACTTAAACATGCAATGACTTACACTGTTAAAAATGAAAGTTAAAATACTTCAGCTAAAAAGCAGCAATAAAACAACAAAGATTGCTTCCCAGAACACTTGTCACCTCTTTCGCTTCCTTCAAATTCCTCCTCAAAAAGCCAGCTTTGCCATGCACATTTGGCTCAACCGCCACATTCCCTCCTGTGAGTCAGCCTCTAAGCCTGAGCACATGCAACTGAGAAAACCAGATTCTACTTCACTGCTTAACTCTGCCTCAGGCTGATGAGATTCAAAAAACCAAAGTACAGAAGATACACAGGGCTGGTGCTCTTATAATAGCTGTGCAGCAGGAATAATCTCTGCAAGTCTAGTTTGTCATGCTGAAATTCCTTCTAATATATCACTATTAAATTAGGCAGGAGTCCGGTCCTCTCTTACCACTGAAGCCTGCTTCACCAAATCAGGCTCGTACTCTCTGGTGTAGTACAGTAGCTCTGAGGCTGGCACATACTTCTGATATAGCTGCCTTTAATTGCTCCAGAAGGGTAGCAGCAAGAGGGTTAAATGCACCAATTTCTACAGCCTTAGCAGCAGTGCAGAGAAGGTGTTTTGTGAACTGTTCTCCATGGTATCTCAAACAGCAAAAGGACCCAGGACAGAACCTCTGATGCACATCTTAATAGAATTGGTATTGGTATTATTGTTATTGTTGCAGCCATCCATTGATAAAGGAACGCTTGCGTCCATATATGCCCTTCTGCCCCTTGAGATCAGCTACAGATGCCCTTCTCCAGGAACCCTCTGTGAATGATATTAGGAGGGTGAGTACCTGGAGGAGGGCTTTCTCTGTGGTGGTACCCCACCTATGGAATGCGCTCCCCAGAGAGGTCCGCCTGGCGCCGTCGTTATTTGTTTTTCGGCGCCAGGGTAAGACCTTTTTATTTAAAACTTATTTTAAGTGTTAATTTATTATGGAGGATTTTTAAAAAAAATTTAAGCCTAGATGCACCAGGTTTTAATATTTTTAGTGTATAATTTTTTATATGATTTTGTTTTTATTTTTGTTGTGAGCCGCCCCGAGGCTTTGTTGCGATGGGGGCAGCACAGAAATGTTTTAAATAAAATAAATAAAAAATAAAATAAAATAAATATTATCTAGAACGTTCCAGGGATAGGGATAGGAGGGTTCATATGGAAGAAAGTGGTTTGCTAGATATCCCAGACCCAGGCTATATAGGGCTTGAAAGGCTTAGTCCTCCTAATGTCCTTTTACAGAAAAGGATGTTGTAAAAGAAAAGTTGTGTTCCACCACGAAAGGAGTCCGTTCCAGGTCACAGAACTTCAAGCAACAAGAGCAGTAGTCTACCTAGAATGCAGCAGGAAGGAGACTATAGTTCTGGCTATGGTGTAGAGTCGTGCCTGCCCTTCAGCCTTTCCCCCTAATGATATATTATACACCAGAGATGGGAGCCAGGCTGAGCTCCCACAAGTTGTAAAGAGTGGTTTAATGATGCCAGCTTGACAATTGTCATTCAAGCATATTCCCGACGAAGAACTCCATTTGAAACATGCTGGGTTTAATTAAAGCTCATGTAACTGGAGGCTTCCTCCCTTCCAGTCCCTGAAATTAGGGCCACCCTGGTTGTCCTCTCTAGTTTTCCCAAACAGCAGATGAGGTGGCTAACTTGTCTCTAGACCAGTGTTTCTCACACCATGGGCCCACTGGGTTTCAGCCTACTTTCAGGTGGTCTCGGTGCTACAGAGTGCCTGGTGTCCCTTTCCTAGACCTCCCTGAACCCTGATGACTGCATCATACACACTGCACAGGCAGATTTGGCAGTGGGATTCTTCAGAGAGCAAGGCTATTTTTAAAAAAATTGAAAACTAGGAATAAAGAAGAAGGGGATAAGAGAGAAACTGTAATCAGAGGAAGTGAAGATAAAAACAGCAGGAGGGAAGGATGAACAAATCTGGCAGTGAGGGGGAAAAGGTTACAAGTGTAAAAGGAGAAGGGGGGAGAAATGACAGGACATAAGCAAGAACAGTTTGAGAGGCATATGTGGGGAGGAGGAACAATACAAAATTAAAAGTCTTCTCTACTTAGAACCTCTGAACCAGCAAACTCTGCCTGAAATAGGGAGGCTGAGTCATGATACCTCCAGAAATAATGTCTGTACTTCATGAAAAAGACAAACTACAGAGCTCCCTGGTACAAAGAAACAGCTGTGGCAAAGAATTTTGCAGTTTCCAAAGAGGGATTAGTTATCAATAGAACATTATACCAGCAATTGCCGGCTTATTGTGCCAAACTCCACCTGCCACCATTAGGTGACTGGCTCCAACACTGCAACACAGTTTTGTGACTATTTTGTGACTCTTGGATATCAATCATATTCAGTTGCTTCAAGTGGACCATGAAAGTAAAAAGGAAACACTGCTCTAGGCTTTGTCACTTTGGGGTGAGAATTGGGGAGACACTGACATGACTTCATGTTCCTCCATGAAAAAAAATAGATAACTGCACACATTGAAAACTAGATGTTGAGGAGAAGGCTTTTAGCTTCTGGAGAGATTCTTACTTTGGAAATGTTTTTTCTCCTGCATGGGTGAGCAGTATTCCAACTTGTGAGAACTCCCACTGCAGTCTGAAAGGTACGATCTAGACACAGCTTTACCACCTCATCTGCTACCTAACCAACTATCCAAACAGAACTACCTACACAAGAAAATTATTTAGACAAAGTACAGTTAGCCCAGAGGAGTGTGCTTCTATAAAGACTCAAGGTCCATTTGAGAAGCTATATTCATTTGGAAATAAGCTATATTCACTTATATCAATGGCTTAGATCATAATTAGAGTTCAAATAATGTAAATGATACTCATTCACAAGGCTGACTCAAGTTTAATGGACTATTACTGTGGTTCAGAGCTGCACAATCAGACTGTAAGTTTGTAGAATAATTTGCAAGAGAGCCAAGCAATTTACTGCTGAAGCCTGGACAATTATGCCATTCCATTGAAACTATGGTGAATGGCACATTCACCAGTATTCTCTATTCCCATTCTCTATGCTTCTATTTGCATAAAACTATTCATGAGCTTTTCTATAAAATATACAAAAGGGTTCAAATCCCCACCCATTTCATCTCCTAGCTCCACCACCCTCCAGTCAATCACAAACAAGGCTCAAAGAAACAAAGAATAGTCACAGTTATTGGGACATCATCATCAACTTTCCAAAATGTGCTGAGGATAATGGGTTACCAAAGTCATTATTGGTACTTATTTTCAATTCTATTTACATTAATACATTTAAAGAACACTCAACAGTGCATGTTTTCTTTTACCAAGTACACTCAAGTAACACAGTGATCTGGTTCGGACATAACAATAACCCAGAGTATAAGGTGAGTATTGGTTGTTCTTGAATCATGGGTTGTCATTACATATGAACCCTGCACTAGGGTATAACTGTGGGTTGTTAACCACAGATAACCCAGAGCTCACAACCCAACAACAAACCACAGGTTTTCTTCATGGCTTGTGTCAGTTAACAGCCCATAGTTAAACCATAGTGTAAGGTTTGTATAGAGCAACAACTCATTGACAATCCGGGGACGCAAGGTGGTATTGCATGTTAAACCACTGAGCCGCTGAACTTGCTCAGTGGTTTAACCACTGAGCAAGTTCAGTTCAAATACACATGGTGGGATGCTCTCCTGTTGCCTTGTCCCAGCTCTCGCCTACCAAGCAGCTCAAAAATGTGTAAAAGTGCAAGTAGTAAATGGGTACCCACCTCAGCGGGGAGCAAGTGACCTGCGTGGAAGTGGAGGATCAGACCTGCAGACCTGCAGTGTCGGAGACCGGAGGACACTGAAACCTCTGCAGACCAGCACTAGCTGCTTTGTGTGCAAAGCTGGCTTGCCCCCTGTGGTGCACTGTTAATAGCACATGAACATGAACTGAAGAACTAGCAATCTTAGGCAGCCAAACTACTCTGCATTAGCACTGTAGACTTCTTGGCTAACTGTACAAATACCATATGAAATAAATAAATAGACAACACATATTCTTGGTTGTTGTTATGTGCAAAGCAGGATGATATATAGCCATTTTAAATAGCTTTCTTGACCAACAGAACATCAGTGAAACAAGCTAAGTAAGTAGAAAAGCCAAATGGGGTGCTATTTACAACCTAATTGTGTGAACAGCTGAAGGCATTTTGCAGGATCTTAAGCACCTCCAATCATACTGCAGCTATAGGAAGCAGCATTTTCTAGGTAACATATACAAATAGGCCCTTGGTTCTCTGTTAATAGTGCTTGCAGCTACATCAGCAACTTTCCTTCTAGTGACTTTCTTGACGGAATGGGAACATTAGTCTAGCCACACTGCAGAAAATTTGCCCTCTTGTTAGTCTTTATGTTGACATTTTGATAAACTCCAGCTCAGATGTGATAGTCATCTTCAGCAAACATTCACAAATTATTAGAAAAGGAAAATATGTATATGTGCAGATATGAGGATGTGTAATATATTTTTCCAGTGCAAACTCGATCAGGTCTTGGTAGGCATTTCCAATCAGTTAGTTTATCTTTTTCACACATGCACACAAATGAAATGTAAACACATCAAAGAGATGACAATAGCAAATTGAGATGCATCCTATCATTTAGAAAGCTTTTAGGAATCACAATTTTATGTGCCATGGAAAATACTGTATTCAGCTGTTCAGGTGGAATCTACCACTGAAGAAAGATGATTTTCTACCAACTGAAGAGAGATTTACATTCTAAAGATGTCATTTCCTTCAGGCACTAGAAACACTACATACTTTGGCTTCAGTGAATATATTTTACCTAATGCACCGTATAAAATTAACATCTGTCATTGCTAATATAAGTAGTGTCACATTTCTCTTTATCTTTATTCTCTGCCCATTCAGGAACCTGGGCGGAAGACATATTTGTGTTACAGTCAGCCTCTGTTTTTCTTAAAGGGGGGGTCAAGATATTGCATGTTTGCCCCCGAATGGTAGGTTTAATTAGATACCTGCAACACCTACCAGTGAAAAATACACTCGGTTTTCAGTTTTGAAACTAAACCTGTAC